GTGTGTGTGTGTGTGTGTGTGTGTGTGTGTGTGTGTGTGTAGGGCAAAATGAGAGCATATCATGAAGCTCATCCAGATGTGACCTCTGATGATCACGTTCGGTCCGTCCTCACGAAAGCAGAGAGACAGCTGAAGGACAAATTTGATGGACGGCCAACAAAACCACCACCGTGAGTCTTAATTAAAACTTTCACTTATGAACAAGAGTTAAAAACCAGGATACCGACGAGTTAGAGGCTGGGTACTTGGGTTTGAACATGTTTTGGTTAACACATGTGCTAATGTGAAGGCTTTACTCAACCTGCCTTCTTGTAGCTTCGTCACATCGTTTGTTTTGGGTTAGAAGGCCAACAGTCAGATGGTGTCATTGTTTCCCCATCTGACTCCACACAGACAGATTCCTATGAACCAATCACAGAGTTCCACATCATCTGAAGTGGACCGACGCTCTCTGGAAGCTTTAGAGTAGTGTGCGCACTCAACTGACCCTTAGGTTAAGCCCCGCCCCCTGCTGCTACGTTACCATGGAGACACACGCTCACTAACTGCACATGAATAAATATGAAGTTATTGTTGTTAAAACTAAAAAGTGATTTTTATAAACGTGTATATCTCTGAGTAGCAAATCCACTAAACCAAAAACCAGTGATGCTACGCTGTGATTGGTTGGTCTGCGTTTGAGGGGCGGGGCTTATTGAAGGGACAGTTATCTTGACGACTTAAACGTGACTAGAAGCAGTCCGATGTGGATTTTAAGGAGCTCTAAGGAGCGCCTGGTTTGTGAGGATCCTCCAGGTCTTGGACTGTCTAACATGTGTGTGTTGTGGACCAGTAACGGGTACTCTCTGTACTGTGCCGAGCTGATGGTGAACATGAAGGACGTCCCCAGCACAGAGCGCATGGTGCTCTGTAGCAAACAGTGGAAGATGATGACGCAGAAGGAGAAGGACATGTTTCAGAAACGCTGCGAGCAGGTTGGTATCAACACGCCGCCGTCCGCTCTCACTTCCTGTTTGTGTTTCCTCCGGGTGAGAGCTGCTCTCACTTCCTGTTTGTGTTTCCTCAGAGGAAGAAGCAGTACGACGTGGACCTGCAGAGGTTTCTGGAGGTACGTCAACACTGAAGTATTGAACAAATAAAACTAGATCACATCATTTGAATTCATAGTTTGAGTTTCAGACACTTTAAAGGTGTTTTATAAACATCAGAATCACGTCGGCTCGTCGTTAACTGGACTTTGTGTTTTTCAGAGTCTTCCGGACGAGGAGCGAGATCGAGTCATGGGCGAGGAAAAACTAGGAGGAGCCAGAGGGGGCGTGGCTGCCAGCCCACACAGAGCCAAGTCTCCGGCCAAGGTCAGAACGTTCTTCTTCTCTAAAACACTCGCGTTCATGCTCCCTAGTATTGATCCCCGATAATGAAACACTGTGAACAACAACTCTGATGATTCAGCAGGAGGAGAGCTAGTTAACGTCAGCTGTTAGCAGCATAGCAACATTTGTGATCCTGATCTGTGATCCCTAGAAACTCGGCCCTCAGGTGGTGTCTGTCCTTTCATCCCAGGAGCGGGGGGGTCGGGAGGCGGAATCGGAGACGTGGAAACCTGCCGGACAAACGAAAGACAGACGGGACGGGAAGAAGATGGCGAAGCTTCCTGAGACGCCGAAAACAGCCGAAGAGATGTGGCAGCACAGTGTGATGGGAGACTACCTGGCTAAATACAGAGTGAGTAATCTGATTACACTGTTAGTACTCTGATTACACTGTTTTTGTCAGTTCAGTTACCTTTTGAGAAAACATCAGATGTTGTTAAACTTTAAATTTTTTTAAACATAACCTTTATGGAACGAGTTAATTTCGGCAGCTGCTTCACAGTTAAAGTCTTTGTCACAATGAAGGTGTAATGAAGGTGTAATAAAGGATTTAAATGTGGTCATGTGACTTCCTCTGCAGAGCGACCGCAGGAAGGCTCAGGCTGCGATCGAGGCGGCCTGGAAGTCGATGGAGAAGAAGGAGAAGATTCCTTGGATCAAGAAGGCGGCGGAGGACCAGAAGCGTTACGAGGTTCAGTACCAACCTGTGGTCAGTGAGCCACGCCCACAACACACTGACTCCGCCCCCTCCGGCTGAGGCCGCAGCCACATTACAAACGTGTTAATTCTGAGTAACTTAGTCTCTGAGTAACTTAGTCTCTGATTGGCTGAGAGTCTCTGTGTGTTGTGACGTTCTCTGTCCTGTAGAGGGAGCTGTTGGACACGAGGACTCCAGCAGCAGCTCAGAGGAAACCCAAGTTTGATGGAGAACCAAAGAAACCCCCAGTGTGAGTCTGACTTCTTACACCAAACTCGTGTTTAAAAAAAAAAGAGGGAGAAAAAAAAAAAAAAATGTACTGGGAGCTTATTTGAATTCAGCAATACATAATATTTTTGGGATTTCAAGACAAAATCCAACTTATCTGCCATTTATTTTGTTGCGATGTTCAGTTTCTGTCATAGAAGACAAAATGAATAAATAAATGACTTTAACTTTGTTTCATTAAATAGATAAATATTCACATGTGAGAACCTGCGTCTTTGATTAAGAAACGACTTCTTAGAATAACTGCAGATGAATAGTTTGTAAATCAGTCAAGTCAACGAGGCTCAAACTGAAAGTTACTGAATGTACCTGAACGTAAAGCAGCCTTGTTGTAAGCCCCGCCCCCTGCTGTATCCTGTCCAATAGGAGCGGGTACCAGATGTTCTCCCAGGAGCTGCTGACCAACGGAGAGCTGAACCACTTCAGCCTGAAGGAGCGGATGGTGGAGATCGGGAAGAGATGGCACAAACTGACCCAGAGTCAGAAGGACAAGTACAAGAAGATGGTGGAGGAGCAGCAGGGAGAGTACAAGGCCGAGCTGGAGGACTGGGTGGAGGTACAGCCAGAGAGACGGTTTACATGTGACCAGTACAGATCAATCAGTAACTGGTTCTCTTAATGACGGTCAGAGCCAATCACAACTCGGCAGAATAAAACCAGATGTTTCCTTCTTCTCTGCAGTCTCTGTCTCCTCAGGACCGAGCCGTCTACAAAGAGTTCTCCTCGTCAGTGAGTTCACTCTCTCTCACTCTTTGGTCCATATATATACGATGAACACACTACTTCTGCTCACCAAGGCTAGCTAGCTAACTAACCAGCTGTCTGCTAGTTAGCTAGTCCTTTTCCAGGGTTAGGGACCGTTAGACTCGGCGCTGCCGACATTTTCTGTAAGTGTAGCATTAAAACACGGTGGGAATAGCTAACTAGCTAACCGGCTGTCTGCTAGTTAGCTAGTTAGTTAGCTTGTGTGACGAGAGTGAGTGGAGGAAGCGTCACGTTGTTAGATTTCAATCCTTAACTGTCACACTAATAACATAAATAACTATAACCAGTGACAAAACTGCTTTAAAAATGAATGTATAGATAATAAATTATCTATACATTCATCAATAAGAAATAACTCTGACATCGTACTAGTTTGAGTTAGCGGAACATAGATTACTAGTTTAATTAATGTACATCCTGATGATTTTTATTTATCTATTTTTACATAAAAACACTCAAAAAATGGACTTATATTTGTCATAAAACAGAAGTGATTACAGGACACGTGTTATTATGGTCTGTCATTCACTAACAATGGTCATGGTGAATTTAAGGTCTTTGGACAGCAATGACAGTTTGTAACGGCGTGAAGCTGAAAGCTTTGTTTCAGAGGTTGAACATCTGTGTCTGTTTGTTCCATCAGAAGCGTCGCAGCACTGCTAAAGTTCGCAACAGTCCAGGAGCTAAAGTCCGTGTGACGGCTAAGGGGAAGGCTGCCAGTTCAAGAGCCACGACGCAAACAGTTGGGGTCGCCAAGAGGGCCATGGCGTACCGAGCCAAGGTAACACACTACACGCTACGCGACAACACGCTACACAGCAACACGCTACGCAGCTACAATGCTACAGGACAACGCGCTACACTCTACAATGCTACACGATTACACTCTACAATGCTACAGGACAACACGCTACACTCTACAATGCTACACGACAACACGCTACACTCTACAATGCTACGCGACAACACGCTACTCTACAACGCTACGCGGCTACAATGCTACAGGACACGCTTCACTCTACAACGCTACACGACAACACGCTACACTCTACAACGCTACACGACAACACGCTACACTCTACAATGCTACACGACAACACTGCTGTAAAGCTGCACCTTTCTGTCTTCCAGCAGGACATGTCCGACTCGACGGGGAAGAGCGACTCCTCTGACTCTGATGAAGACGACGAGACGTCAGGAAGCACAGACAGCGACGATGATGAGGTGAAAACAAACACATTCCCTCATTTGACCCAAATTAATGGTTAATTACTGGGTTCTAGTATCTCAGAGGGTTCAATTAAGGTTCATATTCCTGGATTCCAATAATGTAAAAATCAGAGATCACTTCAATCATTTTGTCAGTTTTTGTCATTACAATCAATCATATACATTATTACTGCCAAAGGTAAACATGACTCTACCCAGAATCACCATGGCAACTATCTAATAAGACTGTTGTTCCTCAGAACGATGACGATGAAGATCAGAGCTCCTCTGAGGACTCCAGTGACTCGGACTCAGATTAGGTCTGCCCCCCCTTCCCCTCATTGGAGAGGACAGGCTGTGCAGGCCACGCCTCCTCACATGCCAATCATCCGGGCAGACCAATGAGAACGGTTGACATCACGCGCTGGCCCCGCCCTCTGAAGGGCGTGGTCTGATCGAGTGTTTTGTTACCCGTGTTTGTTGGTTTTTATCTGATGGACATTTCCGTCGGGAGGAGTTCGTTTTTATGTTTTTTTTGGAGCGGGGGCGGAGCCTATTGGTTACCGGTTTGTTACGCTGAGGGGCGGAGCCAGTGTTCAGCCTCCAATCAGCTGCCTGCCTGAGAAAATTATTAACAAATAAATGCACTTTTTCTCACTTCTGTTTGCTTTGATTGTGTACCCAAACACCCCGTGACATCATCACAGGTGTGACATCACAGGACAACGAGGAGTTAAAACAAACACGACACATGTTTTATAGACATTTGAATGAATAGATTTATAGAATATAAACAAGCTTCTTTAACCTCAAACACTAATAAATAATCTGACCTCTGACCCCCCCCCCCCCACACACACACAGACCTTTGGCACGCTCACCCTGTTACCACGGTACCCGCCCTCCCAGCTTCATCTTCTGGATTAATAAAACACCCCGAAAACCAGAGTCCAGCACATGCATCTTCATCTTCATCGTTACCAAACTCTATAAAAAGGGACCCCCCCCCACACCCGAAACAAAGAAAGATGTTTGTACATTAACGTCATATTCTGTCAAAATGAAACATCGTGGAGAAGAACACGGAGAGTCGCATGAACTTCTTCTTCTCTTCTAAACTCAAGGTTTCAATCTGAAAACTGATGATTTGTAAAACGGTCAAAGCAGCTGGATGGTCCTTTAAAAAGCTGCAAAGCATGATGGGAGTTGGAGTTGAGCTGCACATTAAAGACGATTCACTGGTTCATTAAATCATCGACCAACAGATTCAGTTTTATGACTCATTGATGAAATATCAGTTATTCATCAGAGGGTTAAACACACACACACACACACACGCGCACGCACACACACAGTCATAGCGGGACGTCCAGCAGCTTCTTGTTCAGGTACTGCTTCACCTCCTCGATGCCGTTCAGCTTCTCCAGCTCGTGGTACGGCAACTGAGAGGGGTCAAGAAAAGTTACATCACCAGCTGGTCAACACACTGCAGCACAGAGAGCGTAGCTTAGCACAAAGACGGTTAGCCGAGCTGTGAGGCTGTCTATGTGATGGCTTTAGCGTTGTTACGTATGACTGTAAACAGGATTTAGGAGGACTCGGTGTGGACTGACCTGCAGGATGACGTATCCCAGCAGCCTCAGGTGTCGGTCCCTCATGGCCCGAGAACCGACCAGAACCTCAGAGTTGTGGCAGTAGTGCCACTTATCGTTGACGGACATGATGACCCTGTAGAGACACAGAACCGTGTTACACATCAGGACCCCGGTCCAGGTTTCGTCAGGTTTACCGCTGAGCTGGACTGACCTCCTGATCTGTCTCTGGTCTGTTGGGGGGTTGTCTGTGTCGGGGGGGTGGAGCCGAGGCGATGAGGGTCCTCTCTCGGCCCCCTCGGAGTACGTCACCCCCTCGTCCTCCAGGATCTTCCCGATGGAGAACTGGAAGAGTGAGTCGGGGGCCGTGGACCCTGCTGGTCCCTGGACCCCGTCAGAGGGGGGGCTGCTGAGGGTGGAGCTGTCCTGGCTCTCCAGAGACTGGTCCTTAACCAGACTGGAGTAGTACTCGGCTGTAGGGACGTAGTAGGACCCGTAGGGGCCTCCGTTGGTCCCCATGGGCCTCGTGGTGTGATGAGGCAGGTACGACCTGGTCTCTATGGCTCCGCCCACCTGGCATAGCTCCTCCCCCTCCAGCACCGCGAACGGAGAGAACTTCTGGAACTCTGCAGTCACCACGGTAACCGCTTCATCGGCTGACTTGGACGTCGCCACGGCAACGCAGGACGGAGGAACCAGACCGGCTCCGGTTCTGATCGGTAGAACCCGACCAGAGGAGTCCATCCACAACACGAAGTCTGGAGACCAACAGGAGAACATCAGAGCAGAGACTGTAGTACTCAGTGTAGTTCTGTGTGTAGTACTCACAGTGTGTGCAGTACTCAGTGTAGTTCTGTGTGTAGTACTCAGTGTGTGTGGTACTCAGTGTGTGAAGTACTTAGTCAGTGTGAAGTACTTACTCGGTGTGTGTAGTATTCAGTGTGTGAAGTATTCACAGTGTGTGTAGTACTCTGTGTGTGTGTAGTACTCAGTGTGTGTAGTACTGTGTGTGTGTAGTACTCAGTGTGTAGTACTCACAGTGTGTGTAGTACTCACAGTGTGTGTAGTACTCAGTGTGTGTGTAGTACTTACAGTGTGTGTGTAGTACTTACAGTGTGTGTGTAGTACTCTCAGTGTGTGTGTAGTACTCAGTGTGTGTGTAGTACTCAGTGTGTG